GGGGGGGCGGGGGTTGTTCTGGGAACCCCTCCTGGGAAGGTGTAGCTTTTGCCTTAATAGAGGAAGCAGCCTCTGGTCTCCTGGCCGGAGCAGGGAAGTCAGGCGGCGTTTCTTTCCCAGTCCAGCCACAAAGCCTCAAACGCCTGGTGGAGTTCGAGGCCCACCTCCTCTCATCAGCCAGACTCCAGGGGGAGGGGGGCATTTGGGACTCCTAAATTCCTCACGGCACCCCAGAAATGCCAGGCACCTCCTCTGCCCTCATAGCCTCAGGAACTCCGGATGGAGAGCAAAGGAGCTCCAAGTTCCACGAGGGAGAGAATCACTCTTGCATTTATGTTTGTTTGTTTCTTATCTCCCGTCTTTATTGTTCCTATAAGTAACTCAAAGTGGTGACTACTGTACTCCTCCCTCCTCTTATTCCCAACCACCCTGTGAGGCGGGTTGGGCTGAGAGACAGAGATTGGCCCAAAGTCCCCCAGCTGCCTTTCACGCCCAAGGCGGGACTAGAACGGCCCATCTCCTGACAGCAACCTCCCCACTGGGCCAAGCACCCTAGGTTGGCTTGGGACGCCGAGGGGCCTGGGGTGGCGCTGACCGTATCCCTATTCACGTGCAGCTCTCCCCATGGCAAGGCCAGTCCCTGCCGAGAACCCCGGGGGGCCCAGGGACAAAGGCATTTCCTTGCTCTCGGTTCTCAGGGGTCTCTTCTGTGTCTCCCCCTCCCAGTTTCAACCAGTGGTATCGCAGAACCTCCCAGCCCAGCCCCACGGAAAGCAGGCCAGGAACCTGGGAGATCATCAACGCAGAAGATGTGGGTCCAGGAGGAGAGGAGAAGGAAGAAATGCCCCCCGGTGGCTCCTCTTCCCCACTTCCTTGAGTCGGGACACTCATTGCTGACACTTTGGGAAGCACAGAGAGCAGCCCAGTGGGGGTTGCCCCCCCAGACCCCTCACCTCTCCAGAAGGCAGTCAGGACCTGCCCAGCGGGGGCTGTGCCCAGAACCGGCTGCCTGGTTTCCATCCTGGGCACCCTGCGCCTGACCCAGGGGTGGGATTCTACCAGTTCACACCTATTCGCTAGAACTGGTTGTTAACCTTCTAAGCAGTTTGGAGAATCAGTTGTTAGAAGAAGTTCCTGGGCTAATCCTGTAAGGAAGGCAGGAAGGAAACATTCTGGGGTTGCTTACAGAAACTGCCTCTCTGTTAACCCTTATTACATTCTTGGCAGGACTAGACTTCCTGTCTCAGAAACTTCTCTGGAGTTTTTTTCCCCTCCTTTGCTGGTACTTTACTTGTGTGGAGTGACCATTCAAAGTTACAATGGCTCTGAAAAAAGTGACTTATGACTATTTTTCACACTTACGACTGTTGCAGCATCCCCACAGTCAGCAGAGGCCAGGCAAGGAGATGCGTGCCTCGATGTGAGTGATATTGAGTTGGCCACGCCCAGCCAATAACACGACCACCAAGCCATGTCCACCCAGTCACATGTCCACCAAGCCACGACCACCAACTAAGCCACTCCCACAGAACCGGTTGTTAAAACATTTGAATCCCACCTCTGACCTGACCCTCCCTCCACACAAAGTTGCGCCTTCTGGGAACCGCTTGGAACAAGAGTTGTCCATTGTCCTGCACCTGCAGTCTTCCCGGATAGCCAGCTAGTGTGCAGCCTTAATACCAAAACCACAAGGACAATAAAAGGAAAATGTGCAAGTGGGAATGAAGAGCCTCCTTGGGCGGAAGTGGAAATCACCCTCCGCCCCCACCTGTTACTGAAGTGGAGGGAGGAGGCAGGGCCAGGTAGGAGGATGCCCTACCCCGCCAAGATGCCCCCCTCCCACCAGTCTCCCCAGGGCACTCAAAACAAGCCTCACATCTGCTCCAGGAAAGGGGGAGACAAGAATGCTCCCCCCCCTCCAGGAAGGTCTCAGGAGGAAACTGATGCTTAGACAGAGACTGGGGGGGGGGGGGGGAGGGAGCTGGCAGGGGAAGTGAAAGTCAGTCGTGGGGCGGGGGAGGCTCCTGCTCGGCCTCACTGTGGAAGGGGCAGCTGATCTGGTCCCAGACAAGAACAGGCGCACAAGGCTCTCGTTTCTTTCGTTTAGCTCCTCTAGCTTGGAACAAAACAAAGTCCTGCTTGGGGTTCTGACCGCTGCTGCTGCTGCTCCTGCGCGGACTTCAGGCGGTCTGACCAATCCGGGTTCCGTGGGGCCCCTTCGTTGACCCTCCGCCTGAAAGCCTTTGGGGCCCGTGGATACGGCGGGCGGGTCCCAGCCTGGAGTTCTGCCAGAATCCATGAGACAAAACGTCCGTCCGTCTGTCCCGGCCCCACCCCACCCTCGTGGGCTCCGCTGGGCGGGCGGGCGGCTGCCTTGTGCGGGGCCTCCCAGAGGCCTCCTGCAGAATCCGGGAGGGGCCCGGCCAGAGACCACCCTGCCAAGCCTCTCGGGCGACGATGCTCCCGGGCCCCTTTCCTCTGCTGCCCGGCCGGCTTCCTCAGGAAGACCCGCAGGAAACGAGCGGGAGGCGCTTCTGCGCGGAGGGTCGCGGCCGCCCGAGTTCTCCCAGCGGGGCCTCCGGGACGATGGAGCGCCGCTGGGTTCTGCCGCTGCTGCTGCTGCTGCTGCCGCTCGGCCTGCCGGACCCCGGGCGCGGCTCCCCGAAGCTGGAGCTCGGGGGAAGGCACGTGTGCGCGGCGGAAGATAGGTAGGGAACGGGGTGGGGAGCCGGCGGTCCCGCTTTTCGCCGACGGCCTTCGGGGCGCTCCGCTCTGCCGGGCAGGGCAACCCCGACGGGGGCGGGGCGATTCCGCTCCCGGGGCCGAAGGGCGCCGGCGGGGCTTCGCCTGCCGTCTGCGGCTCTCCCCGGCCCTCGCCGGCGCCTTCCCTTTCCGCCCGGTCTCCGCTAAGGTCCGCCCGAGGCCCAGCGGACTTCCCGTGCTCGGACCGGGCGGGAAAGCCGGGAGCCGTGGGGGCAGCCCGGCGGAGGCGCCCGGTGCTTGTTGGGGCTGTGGGAGCCTCGCCAAGAATCCTGGAGCAGCGCCGCTTCTTGCTCGCCCGGCGGGCCCGGCAGCGCTTAAGGCTCCCGGTTCCTCGGCCTCTGAAGGGAGGGGGCGGGTGGCTCAGCCGAGGGGGGCCGAGCAGCTATGGCCAAGGTGGGGCCCCGCGCTCTCTGGCTCAGGGCGGTCTCTCTCCCGCCAGTCTGCCGCCCGCCCTCGTCTGCTGCCCGGGATGGAAGCAAGTGGGGCCCGAGTGCCCCCTCGGTGAGTTGCTCTCCGCGCGAGAGGCTTCCTGCTTGCACACCCACCGGGTTCGGGAAGGCGGAGGGGCAAAGGCCAGGCAGGGACCCAGGCCCGACGCGGTTCCTTCTGCCCCGGGGAAGGCCGAAGGGCGGGGCAGAGCTGCAGGGTGTCCCCCTCCCGACTGACAACGGCGGCGGCTGCGCTGATGCTTTGGGGGGGGGGGAGACGGTGCCCTCGCCTCGCCCCCCTCCCCCCTTTCCCCGCAGCCCTCTGCTTGGGCGCCGACGCCTGCCAGGAGCGGGAGATCTGCGTTCGCCCGGCAGTCTGCCGCTGCCGGCCGGGCTTCTTCGGGGCCAACTGCAACGCCCGTGAGTACCGCCCAGTGGGGGCGAGCCAAGAACCCGCTCCCCCAATTCCGAGGGGGTCGGTAGGCAACTCCGGATTCCTCCCTTTGACTCTGGCTTTCCTTGCCTGTTGGAGAACCCCTCCCCCCAACTCTGTGCTGGGACCATCAGCCGAGGGCGACCCCTGCACCTTCCTGCCCTGGCTGTGGGCTGACTTCCCTCCTGACCCCCTTGGCCTGGCTGGGCAGGAAAGCGCAGGGCACCAGGGCCCCTGACCCTTGGGCTCCTCAGACAGACCGGGCTTCCGCCCCCCCCCGCCCCCCATAGCGGGGGGAGGGCCCGGTCCAGGGTTTGAGTAGACCTGGGCTTCTCTTTCAGGCTGCCCGGAGCAGTTCTGGGGCCCAGACTGCAAGCAGAGCTGCCGCTGCCACCCCCAAGGCAGGTGCCACCCAGCCAGCGGAGAGTGCAGCTGCCACCTGGGTTGGTGGGGGCCACTCTGCCAGTCGGCCTGCCTGTGTGGGGAGCGAGGCCACTGCCACCCTGTCACAGGCACCTGCCGGTGTGATCCAGGCTGGTGGGCCCCTGATTGTCGGAGGCAGTGCCAGTGCAATCGCTTGGGCTCCCGCTGTGACCCAGCCACCGGACGCTGCCTCTGCCATCGGGGCTGGTGGGGCAGGCGGTGCGCCTCTCTCTGCAGCTGCAATGGATCGCCTTGCGCCCAGGAGTCCGGGCGGTGCGAGTGCACGGCGGGGTGGTGGGGGGCAGCCTGCCAGCACCTCTGCCAGTGTGTGCACGGCCTGTGCGCCCCTCAGGATGGACGCTGTACCTGTGATGCTGGCTACAGGGGCCTCAGCTGCACAGAGGCCTGCCCTGAGGGGACCTATGGACTCCAGTGTGCCCAGAGGTGAGGAGCCTTGGGGGAGACCGGGGTGCCCTTTGCCCACCCAGAGAGGCCAGGGGAAGAGCAGAGAAGCCGAGCACTGGGCTGACAGGGTGCCCACTTGCCACCTGCACCCTTTCTCTCCTGCAGCTGTGGCCACTGCAGAAACCGAGAGCCCTGTTCCCCCACGCAGGGGGCCTGCCTGGCCTGCGACCCTGGCTGGAACGGGACCCACTGCAGGCAGCCATGCCCTCCGGGGCTGTACGGGGAGAACTGCAGCCAGCCGTGCCCCCGCCACTGTCTCCAAGGAGAGGCTTGCCAACCGCAGACGGGACGATGCTGGAACTGCGAGGCAGGATTCACGGGGACCAGGTGGGGCTGTGAGCCTCAGCCCTTTGCACCAGCAGCAGCAGCTGCCGCCGCCGTCGGGGTCTTTCTGGCTGCCGGAAACAGGGAGAAAAGCAAGCAAGGAGAAGCCTTGCAGGGCCGTGGGAGGGAAGGGGCCAGTGGGGGGCCTGCTCCTGCCCCAGAGCAGGCCTGTGCTCTCCTCGCTTCCGCCCCTCAAGCCCTCCATGGCTTTGCTGCAGGTGTGAGGCCCCTTGTCCCCCCGGCTTCTTTGGGGAGGGCTGCCGGTCCCCTTGCCCCGACTGCTTCCATGGGAGCTGTGATCCTGGCTCTGGGACCTGCCTCTGCCAGCCTGGCTACTGGGGCACCAGGTAACGAGGGGTGGGGGTGGGGGGTTGTGGCTGCAGGGATGTCCTGCACTCCCCCCCACCAGCCGTGCGCCCCATTTTCTCTCTGCCTGCCTCCTTTGCAGCTGCAACCAGACCTGCCCGGAAGCCTCCCACGGCCCCAACTGTTCTGCGGCCTGTCCCTGTGCAGGGGGAGCCTGCCAGCCCGTCTCCGGAGCCTGCCCCCGGGGTGAGCCTGAGGCCTATCTAGAAGGTGCCCCTTGGGGAGGGGGCTTCCTCACGGCTCTGACTTCTTCTTCCTCTCCCAGAAGCCCAAGGGCGGGGGCTCCTCCTTGCAGGCATCCTGGGGCCGCTCCTGCTCCTGCTCCTGCTGGGCCTCCTCTGCTGCTGCCAGCGCTGCCGTGGGGCGGCCTCTGTGGTCAGGTGAGAGCCCCCCCACACACACCCACAGCCAGAAGAGCCCGAATGGACCCTCTTTGGCTGGGTCCACCGCAAGGGGGTGTATGGGGGGGTTGTCCTTCCTGGGACTGGGTGGAGTCGCATCCCAGATAGGCTTGAGCAGAACAACCCGGGGTCCGTGGGGAAGACGGTTCGGTCTAGTCCAACCTTGGGAGGGGGCTGAGAAGCTCCATTTACACCTCCTGCCTCAAGCCACCCTGTGACTCCAGTGAAATGAGCCCCTGCCCGGCCAGAGGAGGCCTGGGCAGGGAAAACGGGGGCCCCTCTCTTTCCTAGGGCACCGAGGGGGGCCGAGCAAGATCTCTTCCCTCCAGTGAAGCACCGCCTGATGGCCGGGCTGCCCAGCCTCCCTTCCAGCTGGCCCTGCTTCTCACAAGGCGGCTCGAAGCTTCCACGGGTGACAGGTGGGGATCTATCCCCAAGGAGCGCCAGCACCAAGGGGCCTGCCTGCCTGGGCCCCCTCCCTCCGCTTGCCTGCTGTCCCAGGAGCTCAGGGGGGTTGGGGGGCAGTGCCTGGGGCGGGAAGGGCTGGGCCCGATAGCCGTGCTCTGACGCTTCTCCTCCCTCCCCCAGTCGCCCACCGAGACCCGGAGGTCCCCTTCAACCCCAGTTTCATCGAACCAACATCCACTGCCTGGCCCTGGGACAGCTCCTTCGGCTCCTCCTCCGAGGGAGCCAACGAGGAAATGGGGGGCCGCCAAGAAGGGCCGCAGTCTGCTCCCCCTCCCAGGGAAGGTAGGAGTGTATGGGCGGGGGAGAGGCAGGGTCCCCTCCCTAGTAAGCCTAAATCTATCTTCTTGTCACCGCCTGGCAAAGGGTCGTAGTGCCAAACCGGGGAGAAGGACCCTCCGGCCCCAAAGCCAGTTTTGGCAATCCCCGAGGGCCCCGCCCTGATTTCACGTCTGACCCTTTGGGAGGAAGGGAGAATGCAGACAGAATAACAGGAAGGGACCTTGAAGGTCTTCTAGTCTAGCCCCCTGCACTATTTCGTACAAGTGGCTGTCCCGTCTCCTACCCAAAGCCTCCAGTGTCGGAGGGAAGCGGCTCCACTGACTGATTGTTGTAACCGACAGGAAATTCCTCCTGATTTCTAGGTCGGATCTCTGTTTTATTATTTTCCATCCGTTGCTCCTTGTCCTGCCTACTGGCACTTTGGAGAACAGGTGGAGCCTCCGCTTCCTCCTCCCCGGGGCAGGGGTGGCGGGGATGTGGGGAGGCTGTGGCCCTGCTGCCTTGGCTCAGCCCTGGAGGGGAGGAGATGCTTGTGGCCTGATGTGCAGGTGAGGCTCAGCTGCAGGTGTGCCATGACCGCCAAGTGCGGTGGGATGAGGCCCCTGAGCAGGGGGACTGCTCAGCTGTACCCCTTGCCCCACCACACCTGGTTGGGGTGCAGAGAGACTGCCCTGGCCGGATAAGCCCAGTGCAGCCTTTCTTCTTCTCTGCTCTTTCAGCCTTGCCAGAGGGCAGCCTTCTCCCCGGGGCGGCAGCGTTGCACCCCTCGCCCTTCGCCATCCCTCGCACCTCCAGCCTCGCCAAGGGCAAGCGGCCCTCCGTCTCCTTTGCAGAAGGGACCCACTTTGGCCCTCAAACCCCCAGGGGCCCCCCAGAGGCCCTCAACCCCACCCGGAAGCCCCGCCCGGCCTCCGAGAGCTCAGTCCAAGGAGCTCTTCCTCTGCAGGTCAACCGCCCCACGGGGGCCTCATGCCACTCCCCGGGCAGGAGCTGCTACGAGAACGTGGCACCAACTCCCTGGGAGGACAGTGGCTGGGCCCCTGCAGGCCACCATCCTGGCAGCTCCCAGCACCTGGCACAGAGAGCGGGGGCCCCGGATGCAGCCACTGTGGAAGCTTGCGTCCATGAGCCCGGCATCACCACCATTTATGTGACCGTGGGCCAAGCCGGAAGGGGCGGCGAAGAACCCCCTCCGGCTGCCCAACAGCATCAGGGGAGTGGGCAGGAGGCGGCTGCCCAGCCAAGAAGCCTGCAGAAGTTGCCTCGGAAGGCACTGGATGCTGCAAAGGGCACCTCAAGGAAGCTGGCCCCAGAGAAGGACCCCAGCACGGTGGAAGCTCAAGGCCTGCTGGCTCCTGATGAGCAGGTGGAGGCGGGAGGGAGCGGTGGCAGCCTGGAGCCGTGACCCCCCCGCCCTCCAGAGGGGCACAGCCAGGGGAGCAGATGTGCCCTGCCTCTGGGCTGGCCCCAGGAGCCCAGGTGGGGGCGAGCAAAGCTTCCAGGGGTCCTGTGTGGAGGCGGCCAATCCTGCCGTGTCATAGGAGGGAGCGGGCCCCTAACCTTCAGTCCTTTACGAGGCGTCCCTCGCCACTGAAGACGCTGAACCCGGAGCCTGCCTGGAGTGGCCTGATGTCCACGGAGTCCTTCCTTTCTCTTTCGCTCAGAAAAGTCCTTGGCAACAGTCTGGCATCTGGATCGGTGCTGCTTTGGGTATCCTTCAGTCGCCGCATTGCCCTGATAAAGCAAGTGGCCTGGAACTGCGGGCACCCGCCACCCCTGCTGCCAACAGTTGGACTCTTTCTCTTGTGGATACCCAACCTTGATAGGGCCTGGGGAGCTGCCAGTGGTGACCAGCAGGGGGCGGTGGCCCTTGGCAGAACACAGCAGGAGTCTTGGGCAGACGCTTTTATCTGTAGAGGCGGAAGGGGCAGCCTTTGCCTCCCCCGCCCAACCTTACTGGACCCCTGAGCAGAAACGCTGGCCAAACCGAGACCCGGAAGAGCCGGGGCAACCTAAACAAAACATTCATCAAAAGGATGAACGAGAGTTAAGACTGTATGGACTGTATGGATTCGATCTGGATTGGGATTAAAGTGATTCTAGATTTACTAAACCCCAGTTACTTCTTCCTGGCCTGTCCCCTTGTTGGGCCGTGGCAGCCAACAGTGGTTTATTGGTTCACTAAGCCTTGGGGTACTTAGTGGGGTGCTCTGCTGAACTGTGACTGAAGCAAGCCAGTTACTTCTGCCCAGAGCACCAAGGAAAGTATCAGGATGCGGCCCGGGACCTGCATTTCAGGGGGCTCCCCTGGCCCTGATTGAAAAGCCAGATCTGAGCTGTGTTCAGACCAGCCTTCGCACCCTCGCCCTCTCTCTGGTGGAAAGTGCTGGGTTCTCCCAAGAGGGGTGGGGGCTGTTTTTGGCTCTTGAGTGTTTTCACAACTTCTTGTGGGTTCTGTCCTCCTTTCAGGGCGGTCTGAATCAACCCGCCAGACCAGAGTTGTAATTTGTTGCCTGGCTTCGCAATCACAACTACCCCACTACTCCAGGGTCAGATGGAGCAGAGACCTCATCAGGTTGCCCCCCCCACCTCCCCCGAAGAATGAATGACTTCCAAAGCTTTGGGCTCCATCAGGCCCCTGTCAGGTGCAAGTCCCAAATGGGGGTCAGGGTGTCCCTTCTCGGGAGGGGCGTGAGATTGCACAAGAAGCGGGAAAGAATCCCAGAACAGCTCCTGGGGGGTCGGCAGGCCTCTCCCGTCCTGCGTAGTCAAGTGTTCCCATTTCCCCACCCTGGTGCTCCTCTCAGGTTTGCTAAAAACAAAACCGCCCGGGTGACCCTCCTGCCTTCTGGAGGGCGCAGGCGCCGGCAGAGTCCAGAGGGGACCGCGGCGACCGTCCGGCTCGCAGGTGGGATCGCGAGCATTGGGGGGGGGGACTTGGCTGCCTCGGGACCCGCATCCCCCCTGCTCTCCTCGAGGGAAGCGCGCCTTTCGCTCTGTGGCGGAGGAACCAGCCGGCGAGGCAACCAGGGGCGCCTCAGGCGTATCAGCGAGAGGGACAAATTCACGGCTTCGGAAGGCCGGACTGGAGCCCCCCCAACCAGCCCCTCCGGGCAGAGGGGCCGGCCTCCCGGGACCAGCCGCTCCGGCGGAGAGAATGGCTGAGCCGAAGGTGCCCTGCGAAGCCCCGTTCAGCAGCCCAGCCGGGAAAGAGGAGCAGCCGCTGCTACGGGAACAGTTTCCTGCCATCGCCCTCAAAAGTGGGGGCAACCGGGCAGGGAATCCGAGGGCAGCGCTCGTTGCGTGCCGGAGGCGACAAGCCCCGCTCGGGTGGACGTGTTTGCCCAGAGACCCCGGACGAAGCAGCGGCAAAGCTCCGCTGACATCCGCGGGCAGACAGGCGAACGCGGGCCCTCCTCCTCCAAGGGTGCCCGGCGCCTTTCTACCCACCCCCGGCCCGTCTCTTTCAGGCGGCGGCGACTGCGGGGCGGGGGTCGTCCTGCGGGGACACCGGTGGGCGCGGAAACAGGGGCGGGCGGGAGAAGCTCCTCTCCCTGCCCCGCCCCGGGCGGGGGGGTGTCTTCCCCTTCTCCCGGTACAGGGAGCTCCGCGGCGCTGGGCGGGCGCCAAAGACGACGCTCGGGGCTCGGTCGGAACCGTCCGGCGCGCCCGATCCGATGCTAGCGCAGCGGCTGCGCGCAGCTTCGCTCCAGCGGCGGCCTTCCGAGCCGTGGCCTCCCGAGCGAGGCCCGGCGCTGGCCGCGATCGGGGGCGAATATCGAGGCGGGGACTCGAGAGTTACGCCTGGCGAAAAGAAGCGGCGCCGGCCGGCTGAGGGTCGCCGAGGGAGCCCCGCCTGGCCAGCCGATCCGCTCGACGCCCGCTTGCCCACCTCGCCACCTTGGCTTGGCGGCGCGCTGCCCGATTGGGCGAGACGCGGCGGCTGGCAAGGCGCCGGGGCCAATCAGTGCCGCCTCGCTCCCCCTCCCCGCCCCGAGGTATAAAAGACGCGGCGGTGCGCCGGGCACGGAGCAAGAGAAGCGTCGCCACCGCCGCCGCAGCCGCGCAGCACCGGCCGGATCCAGCTGGGCAGCCAGGTGAGCGCACGGGGCTTGGCTTCCCTCCGCGGGGAAGAGCGGATCTCTGCAGGGCCTCTGCTCCTCCCACATATCCCAGCCGGCCTCCGGGACTCCCGTTGCCGCCGCCGCCGCCTCCCGCTTGCGCCCGTGTGGGAGGCTCGGAGAGAGCCCCCTGCCCGAACTTCGGCCTCTTATCCTCCGCCCCACCGTCCCGGGGCAAGCAGAGATCCAAAGCGGCTGGAGACCCGCTCTCCCCCCCCCCCCCCGCCCTCCTGCCCCAACTGGCCTGGCCTTTGGCGAGGGGCTCAGCGCACTGTCCCAGCCCGTCCAGGGCGAGTGGGGCGAGGTCCTTGCTAGCCACTTCCATCCTAAGTGGCCTTCTGAAGCCCCCTGCGCCCCCACCCCAGGCGTTTCCAGGCGTTGGGTATTTAGGAACAAGGCCTCTACATCGGGAGGGTCGGTTGACCTGTTGTGGCCAGATTCCTTCCCCTTCTGCCCTCCTCCCTGTGCCCAGCTGGAGCGCCCCTTCTTCAGCCACTGTCCGGGCTTCGTCCCCCCTGTGAGACCGTTGCAGGGCAAGGGGGCTTTGCAATTTCCAGCTCAAGCTGCCCTCCGGCAAGAGGTTCAGATCAGTTAATTCTCGGTTCCTTTCCTGCTTCCCGGTTTCGGGTCCCTCTGACTCCACCCCACCCCGCTTTTCTCCTGAGTCTAAGCAGTTGGGCCAGGCAGATAGTTGAGGGGTACTTCGCCCGTTCCCAGACACCCCTCCCCCCCTTTTATTCTTTCCCCCAAAGCTGCTGCTGGCTGTGAAGAGAAGGAGCAGGCCAGCCCATGGCGGCATTTGCCACCACCACCCCTGCTCAGGCGCACAACCCCCCCCCAGTAGATCTAGGGGCACTTTGGGGGCTGCCCAGGGGCTTCCCCCTTGGGCCCAGGTGGCACTCCGGGCCTTTTTCATTTTGCTCTCTTGAATGCCTTGGCACCACTAAGGCCCCGGGTGGGTGGCCGGCCGGCCATTGGCTGCCTCTCTGTATCATTCAGACTTCCCTCCGCTGTCCGGGTACGTGCCCCCTTCCTCCGGTTGAGCCACGTTACTGACCTCTCATGCTGACCTCATCCTCTTATCCCAAGGCTGATAAGTTTATCCAGCGCTTTGGAGGAGTCCCGATAAAATAAACCAAGAGTTTGTGCCCTTATCTAGCTGCTGCTTGATCCAATCTCTGCCCGCGGAGTTTCCCTCCCCCCAGCACGCGCTGGGCCCCCTAAAGATCCCTCGGCAGGGACCTTCCGCTGGCAGAGGGCTGCCTGCATCGGCTATCTCTTCCCTCCCCAATCCCCCCTGGGGCTCTTAGCGGGGGAAGGGGGGGTTAGGCAGCAGGGCAGTCAGTCTCAGTGGACGCCCGGACAGGACCTCCTAGCAGAGGCGTCCAAGAACGGGTGGCTGGATGACCACCTGCTGGGGGACCTGTAGGAGCGACTAGGTGAGTTCCTCCGTTTCTGCCCTGTGGCTTCTTTTGTCCTTTTTAAGCGGCGTCTTCTGAGAACGTTAGGGGAGGAACGGGGTGGGGTGGGGTGGGGGGCTGGAGGAAGCATCAGTCCCTGAAAGGGGCTCAAGAAAAAAGCCTTCTGTGCCAACAGATCGGAAGACCCCTCTGGTGAAGAAGAGCCCCCGCCTGCTGCCGCCCACCATCATGGCTCCCACTCTCGCCACGGCCCACCGGCGTCGCTGGTGGATGGCCTGCACGGCTGTCGTGGAGAACCTCTTCTTCTCCGCCGTCCTCCTGGGCTGGGGATCCCTCCTGATCATGCTCAAGTCGGAGGGCTTCTACTCCTACCTGTGCCCCCTCCCAGGTAAGAAGCACCTTGGCCCGGCTCTCCTGGGCACCAGGCCTTTGCCACCCGGGCTCTACTAGTGGCCTCCTGGGCAAGCCAGCCCACCCACCCCCGGCCACCACAATCTGGCCTGTGTGTGCCCCCTCTGGCTGCTTAGTGGGGAAGGGGCTCTGTGAGGAGGGGCATCTCTTGCAGCCACAAGGGCAGGGGTCTGCTCTTTTGGGGAGGGGGCCTGGAGCCTGTCTCCTCTTCCTGCCCGCCACGGTCTTGGCCGCTTCTAGGTGAGCCCGGCTACTTGGCTTCTGGACTGGGAAGGGCCAGGACAGCCTTTGGACTCCTCCCCCATAAATCCTTTTCCTTCTTGGGAGTCTGTGCGGTCTTTGGAACAAGGATATCAGCCACACTGGAGGGGTGGGCAGGACGCTCTTGCTTCTGTCTCCACTCCTCCTCGCTGCCCCCCAATCAGCCTTGCCCTTTGGACCCGGGTCAATCTTTGACAGGGTCTGAACGGGCGGAGACCTTGATAAAAAGCTGCCGTGGCAGAGATTTTATCCAAGAGGGAA